CAGAGCACACTTTGATCTTAAGAGTCACATCTTGGGATCCACCTGACTCCAGACTATCCTGTCACCAGTTACCACCATCTCCACGGTGTCCCTGGATCCTGACAAGCCAGCAAAATTGTGAGAGTGACAGTGATATCAATCTACAGTGCTGTCACACAAGCGATGGTGAATTTTACCTTATTGTTGTGATTCTTTGGGAACTGTCTGCCCAGGGGTTCTAGTCTTCTCTCTTTGTGTAGCACATATGTTTGGGTTCCTAAGGTCCTCTCACACCAGATGGTGACAGGACTCTCTGATGTGATCACAGAGCCTGGCTCAGCCCATATTGTGGGATTATGAAGGGCCCTAGCAAAAAAAAAAAAAAAAAAAAGGAGGTGCATCTGTTAGGAGAATTGCACAGAGAAGGTCACCATTGCAGGGACACATAAGCTGATCTGCAATAGCAGAAGGAGACATAAAAACCACACTTTCCCATGGAAATTAAATTGCATCCAAAATGTCAACCCTGGTTTCAGTTCCTCAGGTCAAGCTGTATCTCACATTCTGAGACATTGAGTTCAGTAGCCCTGGCTCACAATGACTCACTACACAACAGTCCTTTCCTGGGATCCTGTGTCAGTTATAATTACAGCCAAAGGAGTGTCCTGCAGTTCCTTACCTGAGACCAGGAGCTCTAGGGAGTTACTGGGCACTGACCACGCCTGTGTGTTGCTCCAATTATAGCCATAGCATGTGAACCTCCACCTCTGGTTGGGGGTCACAGGTCCCACTGTGAACACAGCTCCAAATAGCTCATTATGTATTTTCTGTGAGGGCAAAGGCCTGGAGAACTTCTCATCTTCCTTTGTTAGAATAAACCTGTCATATGCCTTTTGTGAGACACACTGAAAGGTCACATTTCCTCCTGAGGTCACCACAGGGCTGGAAAGGGCTGACAGAGTGATTTTAGTGGGGTAAACTCCTAGGAAGAAATCGGAAGCATGGTAAGTGGAATCACGTGGTAAACAATTTACTCTCTTTTGGAATATGAGGACACACTACAGTGAACATATTCTTTTCCTCAAGAATGGTCCTAGTTAGTGTTGGAGAAGTGACCTCTCACCTGTCACCACCAGCTCCAGAGGGTCACTGCGCTCTGTCCAGCCTATAGATTTGTAAGAGTAACAGCAATATTTCCCTGCATGATGCTTTTCCATGGATGCTATGGAGAACATGGCCTTGTTACCAGGACCTTTGAGAGTTTGACTGTCCCAGGGTGCTGGGCTTTCTTCTTTATAAAGGAAATATATTTGCGTGTCCTTGGACCCCTCACACCAGATGGTCACAACATTACCAGAGGCAATCACAGAACTTGGTGTAGCCCACAAGGTGGGTTTCTGAAGTTTCCCTGCAGGGAAATAGGTGAGAAGCAGAGGGGACTTTGAACAGTATCACAGTAAACATCAAGCATGCTGTTGATCTTGAAATTTACCCTTGGTTAGCAAAGGACCAATAATGTCATGGGAAT